GTCACCTCATTCAATTTGTGTCCTAACATTTGTCGTCTCTTAGTATATTTCTAATCTAAGCATCTTGTTTTTTTAGGGCCCTTCTTGTTTTTTTTTTCGCACTCTCCGATTAGATTTAGGGTCTCCAAAGGACGTCATCCATAAAATTTACTTGGTGTGGCCTTACAAAAAATCAATATATATTCAGTATATAAATGTACTTCTTTGAATAGGATACAGAGTGTTCTATTGTGATTACATGTATGAAGACATGTATAATTGAAATAAAATTAGTATTTCTGAAATAAGGAAAGGACTAAACATTGTTATAAAGGGCTAATGATATGTCAATTACAGTTGAGTTATTGTGCATTTCTTTCTTGTATGGATCTTATTTAATTATTTGAATTATATGTCTAAGTTATATATTATGACGTTATATATAAGTTAAACAATCAAGTTATGATTTGTTATTCATTTTTTAACGTGTGCATTTGATCTTGCATGAGCCACTTGGAAGTGCCAGTAATATACTTTTCCTTCCCAAATTATGAAGGGAAAATTAGTGTGGAATACTTGTATGTGAAGTTGTGTTTATATTAATGATTACCTTATCTACGTTACATTTTTGTATGTTTATTCCTCATTGAAACTATGTGAAGGAAAATATATATTTGCAATATTCCTCAGCATTTGTTACAGAGAAACTTCATATTATTACTGTGCTTATTGATAAGTTATGCATACATTTATGCTGAGACTATCTGAGTTTTACTTTACATTGTTGTTTTAAGTACTTTGAACTTTAAAAAGAGTGACCAATGCATGCATTTTTTTATGATAATTACTTTCTCTTGACTGTTTTTGTAGAAAACAATATGGTGGATATTTGGGGCAAGGGAATAAGATGGTACTACATTGTATGAGATCTGGGATGATACATTGTAGTTGCCTTGGAGGGATGCATTCCCTTTGATATCAAATGGTCCATCCCTTGAATAAACATTGTGGAAAGGATACTGATTACATTGCTATTCTTTTCTATCAGTTAATGTTAATAGCTTTATCATGGGATGCCTTATAAAGTCTTCACATTATTCCATGAATTGATGATGCCATAAATTCAATGGATAGAGTTGATGTTTTCCCATAATAATCTACTCGAAAGAAAATCAACAGGATAGTTTTATGACAAAAACATTGGCAATTTGGAGAATATCGCAATATTGTAAAACGGTATATTTCCAAATGTCCTATGCCCCTTGCACAAGGCCATGTTGATTTGATTATATGGATGACATCCGCACACGCATGAATTTTCGGCTATTTCCAAAAAAAAATTTAAAAACTCAACCATACTGTAAATTGTACAAGACAGCGATATGAGCAAATATATACATTGCAAAAAAATGTTGGAAACAATATCAATGTCTTAGAATGCCAAAATCAAACGAAAAAGATGAAACTGTAAAGAAATGAATTTGAAGAGTAGATTTTGCATACTCTGTGTCATTTGTTCAACCTTCAAAACCACGTAGATTTCATAATGAAAGCAACTTTTTTTTTGCCAAACTTTTTTTTTATTCCCACGCTCGCATCAGTTTTGGGGTTCCCAGAGGATGTCATCCATATAATCAACTCAACATGGCCTAACGTTTCCAGACTGAGTAACAACCAGAAGAAGAATTTATTCAACCTCCTTTGTACAATCAAGTAACGTTACATCATCTCCCTTGGTACAATCATGTACTCATATTTCAATGCTGCCATCTTCACCCCCATTCAGAGGTGGGCTCGTCCAATCGGTCACGTGATATACAATGGCGCCCCCCAGGTGAAAATTTTGGTTCGACAGACCTTTTCATCGAAACAGGTAAATTTTCGTGCTCAAACTGGCAAAGTAGAGCAGAAATCCTTCGCACAACAGTAGAATATGCAGTATAAGTCTTTCCGATGGAGAGATAACGTTTATTCAGTGCAGTTGAAAGCTGTACTTTGCCGATTTTGATCGACAGTTTTCACCATTTTTTGGCAAAATCTCATGATCTCAGGCATCGTACTTTGTCATGATAGCGCCTGTCCGGAGGGTTTAAAAGGTCTTTTTCTGTGTTTGCAGCCAACATTTATTGTCCTATAACAACAGCTGGAGAACTGGCGGTGAGAAAAGACATTGACCAAGGGATATTTCGATCCCGATTTTGCGCACATGATTGTTTTGTGATCGTTACGTTTACGGATGACTGTTTTGCCAAAATAATTTTGCAAATAATTTGGGGAAGCTCTCCCAGTGCGAAATAATTTGGTAGAAGTATACATGTATTTTGTACTTCCATGATTCAACTTCTAATATCAGACAGTTTGCAACTATCTTAGGTAAACTATCTCAAGTAAACACAGGTATCTTTTCTTGTTTTTGGCAACACCACCGGAGTGGAGACTCAAAATATATGCTTTTTTTCTCAGGAAGTCAGTGAGACACGGACTTGCTGTGTGCGTGATTGACCCATTCCGGTGCGACGGTCTGCCATGTCCGGGCGAGTCAAGCGGAAGGTCACCGTGGACAGTTCCAAGATCGTGGCCGAGTCAGGAGCGTCCTCGTCAAGTTCGCAGTCCCAGTCGCAATCCCAGCAGCCCCCGGAGCAGCCCGGCGGACGCAGGCCCAGCGTGTTCGAGCGGTTAGGACCTGGTGCAGCGCGGAGAGACGTTAGTGTTTGTAGACTTTTATATATGTTTACCGAAGGAAAACATATTGTTTTTGCTAGATGTTTCCTCTTGTTCTTCTTCTCCAAACAAATAAGTTATGAATGTGTTTGAGTAAGACTTAACAGATACTATAGATACTTCAAATTTTGTAGACAATTTAAGAAGTTACAGTGATGTTCTGTCAAGAGTCAAGTGATATGTAAGGCTGAAAGGCCACACCAATTTAATTTGTTGGTTCTCAGATTCTCAGATTGGCCTCAGATTCTCAGATTTTCTGATATGTAAAAAATACAATATTCTGGTTCAAGTCAAAAATGCTCATATTTTGCTCCCAACAGTTGAGGAAAGTCGGTTTCTTCCCAGTTCTTACAGTTTTTCCATCTATCAATGCAGTGATTTGATTACTTAAAAATTTGTCGCTTGAATATGAACCCAGCCTTTTGTGTTAACTTTATAGGTCCTATTGTAGTATTTGGGGCTATAATAGGATGTCTAACCCTGTTTTTATCTTTATTTTTTTTGCCCTGTCGCTTCATAGTTTTTCTGAAAAAAAATCCAAGAACCAACAAATTAAATTGGTGTGGTCTATTGTAAAAGTACATTAACACATCCCTGGTGAACTTGCAGAGGTCAGGAGAGCGTAGTAGCGACCCTTGCAAGTACTGGACGCAGGACGGGCAATGTCCGTTTGGTAACACGTGTCGTTTCGTGCATCCCACTGCCCAGAGCCCTGGTGGGAGAACCCGCAGTTACCGAGGATCCTACAGAGACAGGTTTGTGTTGTGTTCTGTGTAGTGTTGTGTACCTGTTCGCTGCACTGGTTCCGGACTAAGTCTTGTAAAAATGTTTAGGTTCAAGTCCCAAAAAAACTAAAAGTCAAAAACCGATTACGGACTTGTTAGTCAATGTTACAAGAAAAAACCCATGTCACAATCCCCTTTCCAAACCACATAAAACCTTCTGTAGATTGCAAAATCTTTGCTGCAAAATGAAGAAAACATTGCCATTGGGCATTGTCAAGTGTCAGCCTCCATGTTATGTAGCCACAGTTTTGCCCTGACAACATTGCAAGGTTTCCCATGCAATGTTGTATATGCCATGGGTTTAGGTACAGACTTACGAGTACGGAACTGAACCAAAACCTCTGGACTTGAATCCGGACCTGAACCTAAATGTGGGTTTAGGTACACAGCACTAAGCATATCCTTCTTAGGCCTGAACCCTGACTTTGTATACTGTAGTGTAAACATGATTCAGTGCTTCAAAGTAAGCATGCTAAAACAGTGTTGGTTCTGTTGTAGTGGTGCTGATGTAGCCTTATAAGCTGTACTAGTATCAGTGTATGCTGCACTAGTATTGATTTAGGTTGCACAATCACTGGTTGCACAGTCACTGCTGTTGATTGTCCCAATAGACATTGATGTAGGTTGTACAAATGTATAGGCACTGATGTAGATTTTATAGGCATTGATTGTATAGGTACTGAATACTGATAGTGATACATTCGTTTTTTGGATTACTGATAGTTTGTTGTTTTCCAGAGGTGACGAGGTAGAGGACCTGAGGACTAAGATGAGGAACAAGCGAGGATCAGGAGCGTCAGAGAGTGGCAGCTCCCGCGAGACACGCAGTAGTCGTAAGGACGGCTCCCAGTCACCCAAGGTACGTTCACACAACCTAGATCATCTCAAGCAGGGTTTAACCATACATGATGTACAAAATGACTAATAAACTGGTG